TGTCAAGTGCTTTTCTGTCTTTATTGAGATGATCATATGGGTTTTGGCCCTTATTAGTATGATGTATTACATTAACTTATTTTTTAAATCAACCCTGTATAAGCTCCACTTGGTCATGACATATAATTATTTCTATAGAGAGAGTGCCAAAAAATGTATACACATTTTAAGAATGGAAAACTAGTATTAAAATTGTAATACTAAATATATACCCATAACAAAAGATGGAAACAAGTCATGTTTGACTTCTGCAATTACAAGAGGTGCTCAAAGTGTTTAACATCAGCACCTAGATACTTCTGATTATGGCAAACTAAAAGTAACGCATATATAGCATCTCTTAAAATGTGCATACATTTTTTTGGCATCCCCATATGTAGTTAGGTTTTGATTTATAATTTTTTGAATATTCTTGCATCAATATTTCTTTTAGAGATAGTTGTCTATAGTTTCTATTCTTATGATGTTTATCTGGTTTGTTATCAAGATAATACTAGACTCAAAGAATAAGTTGGAAAGTATCTCCTCTTGCTCTATTTTCTGGATGAGTTTGTGAAGGATTAGTATTATTTATTATGTCAATGTTTGGTAGAACTCATCAGTGATGCTATTTGGGCCTCGGCTTTTCACTATGGGAATATTTTTAAGTTACCAATTCAATTTATTTACTTGTTACAGGTCTGTAGATCTATAGATTTTACATTTATTCTTGAGTCAGTCCATTTATTCTTGAGTCATATTTAGTAATTTGTGACTCTAGGTATCTGCTTATCTGAGTTGTCTAATTTGTTGCCATAAAGTTGCTCATAGTATTCCCTTATAAGCCTTTTAATTACTAAAAGGATGGTAATGTCCCCTCTTTTGTCTTTAATTGTGACTAAATGTTGAATTTTATTTCTCAACTAAGATAATCATATGGATTTATCTATTTTATCTATTAATGTGGCTAATTACATTAATAGAATTTCTATTGCTAATTCATCTTTTCATTCCTTGAATAAGCCCAAACTGGTCATGATATTTTGATTAATATCTTGCAGGGTTCCATTTCCTTTTATTTAGAATATTTGTATTTACATTCATATTACTGAATGGCCTTTTTTTCCTTCTATTATTGTCTTTGTTAAGTTTGGGTATAATAATCATACTATCTTTAAACATGAACTAAGGTGAATTCCCCTTTTCTAGAATCTGACTAGTTTAATAAAATTAGAATGGTCTTTTATTTGCAGTATTTGGTAGAAGTCACCTGCAGAACTGACAGGGCGGCTCTTTTGTCAGAACTGTAGATAAGTTATCATTGATTATTTTCATTTATTTAATGGCCACAATAGAGATGATATTCAGAATATTTAAATAGCCAGCACTGCATAAACACTGGACAGTCTGAACAGATGTGGATGGCTGTACTGGAACAAGGTCCTGGAATTGCTCTATTGTGTTTGGGAACTTTTGCTATTGAAACATGGAAAGATTTGGAGGAAAGTATCCTCAGAAGAGGGCCCAGGCAGTCAGAGAATACCAGGAGATAACTCAGAGCAGTGGCTGTTTACCAATTCATATAGAAGTTCAGTATTTTATCAGCTACTTCAATTGCACAAGGGCATTCATCCTAGTAATATATCTATTACAGGTTTTCTATTTCTTCCTTGATCAGTTTTGCTAAGGTGTATTTTTTTTTAAGCAAACTACCTATTTTATCAAAGTTTTCAAGTATATTGACATAAAGTTGATCTTATCACCTTATCCTATATTTTTGTCTCTTTTTTATTGCTAATATTAGTTATTTGTATCTTCTTTCTTTTTTCTCTTGATCTTACCAGAGACCTACCTATTCAATAGGCTTTTTACAAAGAGGCTTTTAAAAATCCTCTCTATTGTATTTTCATTTTCAATTTCAGTAATTTTGTGCCTTTATGTTTATTATTTCCACATATCTACTTTCATGGGGTTTGCCCTTTTAGTTTTTTTCCAGTTTTTAAAATAAGATGCTTAGTTATCAATTTTTAGTCATCTTTTGATTTCACTATAATTTCTTCTTTGATCCATGAATTACTTAAAAGTGAGTTTATAAGTCTCTAAACATAGGAATTTTTAATAACCCATGTTAACTAAATGGTACTGAGATCAGAGAAAATGGTTTGTGTGATAATAGTTTGATACTGTTGAAACCTACTTTGTAATGTAATTTTTGTATCTGTTCTAAATTTGAACGAATGTATTCACTATTTGTTGTTGAGCGAATGTATTCACTATTGGTTAGGAAGCTTACTAATAATATTTAAATTTTTCTCAGTCTTACTAATTTCTTGTCTATATTATTTATTAGTAAATGAGAATGCTGTTATTTTCCACTGAGATGGGGATTTCTCATTTTTTTCTTAGAATTCTGTCCATTTTTGCTTTTTATGGTTTCAGGCTGTTTTTTATGTGCATACAAGCTAACAATTCTTTTATAGTCTAGTGAAATAAACCTTTTAGTATAGTATATTTTATCAATAATAATGTTCTTTGTCGTAAACTTTATTTTGTCTACTATTAATATAGCTATAAATATTTTTTCCTTCAATATGTATTTATCTGTTATTTTTTCCATTCTTTTGCTTTAAACATTTCTGTGTTTGTAAGTTTTAGTTGTTTCCCTTACAAAGAAAATGTAGTTTGGTTTTGACTTTTAAACCAATCTAACACTATCTATCTTTTATCTATCTTTAAACTATAGGTCTAGTTTAGCCCATACATATTTATCATACTTATTGACATCTGAATTGACGTTTAGCATATCTTTCTTCCATATTTTTGGGCTTCTTAATTTGTTTTTTGTTTGTTTGTTTGTCTTTTTGAGTTGAAGTCTCACTCTGTCACCCAGGCTGGAGTGCAGCGGCACACTCACCCACCACTGCAGCCTTGACCTGCTGGGCTCCGGTGATCGTTCCACCTCAGCTTTCCAAGTAGCTGGAACTACAGGCATGTGCTTCCATGCCTGGCTAATTTTTTATTTATTGTAGAGATGAGGTCTCTCCAGGTTGCCCGGCTGGTCTTGAACCTGTGGACTCAGGTAATCCTCTCACCTCAGCCTCCAAAAGTGCTGGGATTATAGGTGTGAGCCACCACTCCTGGTCCCTAATTTGTTTTTTAAATGATTCTTTTTTTTTTTTCTTCCTTTCCTCTCTGCTTCTCTTAGATTGATCATATTATATTAGCTTTTATCCTTCTACTAATTAGAAAGTTATCATTTCTACTCCTATTCAAATTTTCTTTTTAAATTTTAAGAAACAAATTCATGTCTAAATGTTGTCTTTGTCTAAAGATAATCAATAGTTCTATCCTCCACTTAAACAATATGTGTAGCTAGAAATCTCTAAGAATAGCCACTCTTTTTACATATGACCTCTGAAAAGAATACTTCAGAAATGATCCTGGTGTGTTACTGTATTATTATTTCATCATAGCTAGCAACAGTTACATTCTACAAAGGGGGACCCCAAAAAACCCAGAATTACCTTTTTTGGGGGTGGGGTGGGGTGGGCCTCTTGTAGTACACTCAGAATTTGTTCCTCTGGATCAAATGGTCAACCAAAGTTTTTATCTGGAAGTTTTGAGAAGGTTGCGTCATGATTTGTGGAAGAAGTATCCCAAGTTGTGGCAAAAAGGTGACTGGTTCTTCTACCATGACAATAAACCTGCTCACACTGCACTGAGTGTTCAACAGTTTTAAACCAAAAATGGCATGACCCCCATGCCCCATCATGCCTATTCACCCAATCTTGCCCCAAGCAACTTTTTTTTGTTTCCTTGGATGAAAAAAGTCCTCAAAGAGAAATGTTTTGCAGACATGAAAGAGGAGAAACCAAAAACGCCAGAAGCACTAAAAGGCATTCAAATAGACGAGGTAAAAAACTGTTTTGAGCAGTAGAAAAAGCATCTCGATAGATGTATTGCATCAAACAGAGAGTACTTTGAAGGTGACTGAAGTTTAAACATGTAAGAATAAATACACAAATTTTTACAAATAAATTCCGGGTTTTTTAGGGTCCCCCCTCATAGTTACTTCTCAAACCTCAACTCTTTAAATAATCAACTTATTTATAAGAAGGAATTTTATTGAAATGTTTCACAGAAGAAGCATAATTGAATTTTAGGTGGGATGATTGGTACACTATGCAAACTGTCCTGTGGACTGCAGGATATTTAGAATCTGGTCCATGTGACTAAAATACCAGTAGATATCATTCTCTTTTCTTCCATAGTAACAACCAGACTGCCCCAAACAGTATTTCCAAACATTCCTTTTCAGGTCAGTCCCATTCCAAATGAGAACTATTCTTCTTTGCTTTTTTTTTTTTAAGTCAGAATCTTACTCTGTCCCCCAGGCAGGAGTGCAATGGCACAATCACAGTTCACTGCAGCCTTGACTTCTGGACTCAGGTGATCCTTCTGCCTCAGCCTCCGGAGTAGCTGGGACTATAGGCATGTGTCACTACACCCAGTTGATTTTTGTGCAGAGACAAGGTCTCACTATGATGCCTAGGTGGTCTTAAACTCCTGGACTCAAACAATCCTCTCATCCTCCCGTAGTGCTGGGATTACAGGTGTGAGCCACTGCGTCCAGCTGAGAACTACTCTTTTAATGCATGAAAACCAAGTACAACAATTCCAAAATAAATAGATTTAGAATTGAAGGAACAAAGAGTAAGAAACATTTCAGTTTCACAGAAGAAATAACAAAAACATTTTTCCTTAAATTTAGAAAATTCATTTTATAAGCCAATTTTCATCATTAACTATACTACTTGATCTCCTTCCCATATAATTTTCTCCAAAAATTTTAGTCATAATATGTGACTAAATACAAGTAACAAAAGATAGAATCACACTTTGATTGCTTTTCCTGAAAACAGTTTCTTTTGTGAAGCTAGAACAGAACACTAAATTTATTTGCCATATTTAGAAAAAAAAGTTTTTGTTCATAATCTTCACATGGTTTCCTATACACAAACCTGTTAGTGTCCCAAATAATGACATTTCCATCAAATCCTGATGTTACTAAGAGTCTTGTATTAGTATCATATTCGATGTTCTTCACCCAGCTAGTGTGACCATGCAAAGTGCATACTTTGGTGTTCAATTTTCTCAGATCCCATAGTGCTATTGTAGTGTCATCAGAGCAGGTAGCAAACAGCCGGTTATCAAGGAATCTATAGAAGCAGAAAAAAACAAAAAACTGGTTCATTTAATCTCTTTGTAAAGGAAACTTGATTTGAGAAACAGTCTTTATATTACCTAATCAAGAAACGAAATAGAAAAGGACTATAAATTCACCATATAAACGCAGTGACTATGATAGCTATTTGGAACACATTTACATACAAAAATTGCTATACAAATTTCCATCATTTTGAATCTATTAACTCAAAGTCATTTCTCAAATATTCTCACTTAGCAACATTTTGTTAGAACCAGTCAAGATTACAAAATAGATGTAAAATATTCCATAATTTAGACTTTTTATTATTTTACAGTAATTTTCAATCCTTAGTGAGAATATATTTTATACAAATACTTTAAAAAAATAACAAACCTACCATTCACACATGAATTTCTGCTGAATTTAATATTAGGATTTTTCTTTAACATATGTTATTATATATAACTTCCTAATCTCTTGCAGAAGAAATGAATTCTGGAGTAGATATCAAGACAAAATTATACATAATTCTTGTCAAAAATCAACCTCATTTTCTGTATACCCTCAACCCCAATAACACTATAACAACCTCCCTGAAACGTATCATGGTTTTAAAGTTCCAGATCTTTATAGTCTGTTTCTGCTACCTGAAACAATCTTCCCCCAGCCCCTTGATCTGGCTAATTCTAACTTATTATTTTTAATACAGTCATGCATTTGGAGAAATGTGTCTTTAGGTGATTTCATTGTTGTGCAAACATCATAGAGTGCACTTATACAAACCTAAGTGGTATAGTCTCTTACCCAACTATGCTGTATGGTATATACTATATAGCTTATCGCTCTAGGCTACAAACTTGTATAGCATGTTACTATACTGAATACTGTAGGTAACTGTAGCATAATGATAAATATTTACATATCTAAATAGAAAAAATACAGTCAAAATACCATATAAAAAATTTTTAAAATGGGATACCTATAAGGCACTTAGCATGAATGGCACTTATAGGACTGGAAGTTGCTCTGGGTAAGTCAGTGAGTGAGTGGTGAGTCAATGTGAAGGCCTAAAGACATTACTGGACACTACTATAGGCTTTATAAACACTGTACACTTAGGCTACAGTAAATTAATTTAAAAAGTTTTCTTTTTTCAATAATAAATTAACCTTAGCTTACAATAACTCTTTCACTTTGTAAACTTTAAAAAACTTTTTTACTCTTTCATAGTAACACTTAGCTTAAAACAAACACATTGTACAGCTATACAAAAATGCTTTCTTTATACCCTTATTCTATAAGCTTTTCTCCTATTTTTAACATTTTTGTTTTTTAAACTTGTTTTGTTATCAATGAAGACACAAGAGGCTAGGAACAGTGGCTCACAACCGTAATCCCAGCACTTTGGGAGGCTGAGGCAGGAGGATCACTTAATGTCAGGAGGATCACTTAATGTCAGGAGTTCAAGACCAGCCTGGGGAACATAGTGAGACCTCATCTCTACCAAAAAAAAAAAAATTAAGTGGGTGTGGTGGCGTACACCTATAGTCCCAGCTACCCAGAAGGCTGAGGTGGGAGAATCACCTGAGCCCAGGAGTTTGAGGATGCAGTGAGCCATGATTGTGCCACTGCACTTCAGCCTGGGCAACAAAGTGAGACTCCGACTCAAAAAAGACATACATTAGCCTAGGCCTAAAGGCCAGAATGATCAATATCACTGTCTTCTACCTCCACATCTTGTCCCTATTGAAGGTCTTTAGGACCAGTGACACAGAGCTGTCGTTTCCTATGATAACAATGCCTTCCTTCTTTCCTGGAAAGCCTCCAGAACGATCTGCCTGAGCCTGTTCACCGTTAACATTTTTTAAAAACTTTAGCCTTGCTGATTTTTTTAAATAAGTGGAAGGAATATACTCTAAAATAATAAAAATATAGTATGGTATAGTATAGTATAGTATATATCATGAACGGGAATTTTTCTTTTTTTTTTTTTTTTGGAGTTGGAGTCTCACTCTGGTTGCCCAGACTGGAGGGCAGTGGCACACTCATGGCCACCCCAACATCGACCTGCTGGGCTTCAGTGATCCTTCCACCTCAGCCTTCCAAGTAGCCAGAACTACAGGTGTGCACTACCACGCCCAGCTAATTTTTGATTGTAGAGACAAGGTCTTGCCAAGTTGCCCAGGCTGGTCTTGAACTCATGGGCTCAAGCAATCCACTCGCCTCAGCCTCCCAAAGTGCTAGGATTATAGGCTGAGCCACTGAGCCCAGCCTGGAATTTTTCAGCTCTTATAGAACCACTGTTAAATCTGGTCCATCACTGACTAAAATGTTATGTGACCTATGACTGTACTTGGCTGTCATCTCCTCCAGAAAGACATCCCCCCTCTATTCAGCCACCAATTCTCCAAGCTCCCAAAGCAATCTACACTTCTATCATAACACTTAGTATTATCATGTAAGGAATAACTTTACAATGCTATAAACTCCTTGAGGGCAGAGGGAACCTGTCTGTCTACTTAATGATTAGATCTGCAGTGCACAACACATACAGTGCCATGCACATATGCATTCAACAACTATTTGTTAAATGAACAAGAGGAGTTTACTGCCTAGTGGAGAAGACATAGTAACTACACAAAATAACTGTGTGGAATAATCAAAGAAAAGAGGGTGACTAGGAAAGACTTCATGGTGGTGTCATTTGAACTGACTAGAACATTAGGAACTCCCTAAGTCGCCAAGTTGGATAAGCAAAGGTATAGAGGCATGTTAAGGGGATGGTGTACACTGAGAAGCAGCAGCAGTTAGAAGTGCTATGTGTGGGAAAGCAGAGATAAGTAGGGAACGTATTATGAATTTATTCTACAGTGACTTCTAATAATTATTTTTCAGTTATAAAATACATTTCCATTAAAAGTATTTTTTAAAATGAAAAAAAAATCGATTACAAAAAATAACCACTGTTTATTACCATTTAGCCTGATCTATTTTCTTTTTTTTGAGTTGGAGTCTCACTCCATCGCCCAGACTGGAGTGCAGTGGCAAGCTCCTGGTCACTGCAGCCTCAACCCACTGGGCTCCGGCGATCCTTCCGCCTTAGCCTTCCAAGTAGCTGGAATTACAGGCACATGCTACCACGCCCAGCTGATTTTTTTTGATTTATTGTAGAGATGAGGTCTCACCAAGTTGCCTGGGCGGGTCTCGAATCTGCAGGCTCAGGTAATTCACTCACCTCGGCCTCCCAAATTTCTATATTTTAAACCCGATATCATTTCACTAATATTTTGCCATGTCATTTTTAATGACTGAATAGTCTTCACTGTACGAATGAACTGAAAACTTTTTTTAAAAAATGGATATGCAATTGCTGGGTGTTTAGACTTGTTTACAGTTTTTTACTATTAAAAAACACTAAGGTGGCTGGACATGGTGGGGCATGCCTGTAGTTCCAATTATTCAGGAGGCTGAGGCAAAGGGTCGCCTGAGCCCAGAAGGTCAAGGCTGAGGTGAGCCATGATCATGGCACTGCACTCCAGCCTGTGACAGAGTGAGACCCTGACTCAAAAACAAAAATAAAACACTAAGATGAACATACTTATAGCCAGATATTAATCATATCCCTATTTATTTCTCTCAGTACATTCCCAGAAAAATGTATTAGTAAAATGGGATTCTAAAAATGTAAGGCTTTTGATACATATAGTCAAATTGTCTTCCAAAAGAACATACCAATATTCAGTTCCACCAGCAGTTAGGAGAGTGTCTATTGGTCCAAACACTTGCCACACAGGTCATTAAAATAAAATTCTGCTAAGTGCTAGAAAAAAATATCAACTTGTTTTAAGCTGAAACTTTTATTTTTAGTAAAGATGATCTTTTTTCACATTTATTAGAAAATTACATTCCTTTTGTAAATTGCTGTTCAGTTCCTTTGCTGATATTACAATTGCAGTATTATTTTTAATACTGAGTTGTAACAAAATATTTCAGTAAGGACAATATATGTTTTTAAAATACTGTATGTTGCATATATTTTCCACATAATTCTATCTTCTAATATGGTTTAGGGTTACTATATCAAAATTTTAGTTTTTATATTCAATTCTATTTTTTCCGTGTACATGTATATTTACTGATGATGCTTTTTTTCTTTTTTCTTTTCTTTTTTTTTTTTTTTTAGAGACAGGATCTTGCTATGCTGCCAAGGCTGTCTCAAACACTTGGCCTCAAGTGTTCCTCCTACTTCAGTCTCCCAAAGTGCTGAGATTATAGGCATAAGCCACCATACCCAGCCAATGATGCTTTTTTGTTTTGTTTTGTTTTGTTTTGTTTGTTTCTGAGTTGGAGTCTCACTTGGTCGCCCAGACTGGAGTGCAGTGGCCGCTCCCGGCCACCGCAGCCTCGCCTGCTGGGCTCCGGCAATCCTTCCGTCTCAGCCTTTCGAGTAGCCAGAATTATAGGCAAGAGCTACCACGCCCGGCTGATTTTTTGATTTATCGTAGAGATGAGGTCTCGCTGCCCAGGCGGGTCTCTAACCCGCGGGCTCAGGCAATCCACTCACCTCAGCCTCCCAAAGGCGCGGGATTACAGGCTGAGCCACTGAGCCCGGCTCAATGATGCTTTTTAAAAGTAACACTAGCAGCAAACACTCACTGATGTCCTACCCATTGTGCTCTTCACAATGTATCTTCTCTTTAATAAATCTACCTTTTTTCTTTTAGAAAAAAAAAAAGTAACACCAGTTCAATGACACTTGATAGAAATTGTATGATTAAGAAAAATACATACAAAAATGTAAAAATATACAAAAGGCCACTGGAAAGTCAAACTTTTAAATTAAACTGAGCATCTTCATACATTTGAAAAAAATTTTTTTTTCTTTTGAGTTGGAGTCTCACTCTGCAACCCAGACTGGAGTGCAGTGGCATGCTCCCGGCCACCACAGCCTCGACCTGCTGGGCTCCGGCTATCCTTCCACCTCAGCCTTCTAAGTAGCTGGAACTACAG